TTCCTTTGCAATGCTTGTGACAAATCATTTGTGAGTTCCAATATGACTTTCATCAAGAAAAGATGAAACACAAACTCAAAAGTACGTATTTCTCTCATTAACTTGTTTGCTTCACCTGCACTTTCATTGGGATTATCATCAATAACCATTTGAAGCACATGAACCGGATGAAAACATAGAAATGATGCTAATCAAGGTGCCATAGTGTGAGTTCCATCGTGTGTCACCGGCACGTTTGAGACTTGTATCTTGATTTAAGCCTCTCCCCGTTATAAGGCAATCATTTTCAAAAGCTATCACAAGCTCTTCTTGGAGTTGCTCTCTAAGTAAATCACGCCGCTTACAAGATGCTCCAACGTGATTAACCACACTATTAGCCGTTGCAAAAAAAGAGGCAATGTCTATATTCTTCTTCGCCACGGCAACAAGAGCTAGTTGAAGTTGATGAGCAAAACAATGAACATAATATGCACAAGGTTGCTCTCTCAATTTTTTTGTTTTAAGGCCATTCAACTCACCTCTCATATTGCTAGCACCATCATAACTTTGTCCTCGTAGCTTGGAAAGGCTCAAACCGTTGCGAGAAAAGAATGTGTCAATAGCATCCTTTAGTGAACTTGAAGTAATGTCCGTAATATGTTGGATACCCACAAATCTTTCAATTACATGCCCTTTGTCATCCACATAACGCAATACCATAGCCATTTGCTCTTTCACCGACACATTACGTGCTTCATCCACCAATATTGAAAATAATCTATCTTTTAGACCATTCATGATAGCATCAAGTGTTTCAATGGCACATGAATTCACAATTTCTTTTTGAATGCAAGGAGCTAGTAATTTGAGATTCCCCGGAGCATTTTCCATCACAACTTCTCTAACTTTATCATCATTATCTGCAAGGAATTGCAATAGCTCCAAGTAATTTCCCCTATTGCTTGAAGTAGCACTTTCATCATGGCCACGAAAAGCAAGACCTTGTCGCAATAAAAACTTAGTGCACTGGATTGATGCATTCAAGCAAGTGCGATAAGCCTTACGAGCTTGGTCAGAGTGTTTGCTCACTGCAGTTTCAATATTTGTGTTTTGATTCATCAAATTTGTAGCAGCTTCTCTAGCTTTGTTATGAACACTCCCAACCGGTCCAACATGCATCTTAAATCTTTCTCTCCCTTTCTTCCAATTCTTAAATCCATCTCCAGTGAAAGCTTCACTACCCACTTGTTCAAAATTGGTTTTAAAGAGATAGCAATAGAGACAAAATGCCGCATCTTTAGATATACTATACTCCAACCAATCAAACTCATCAAACCATTGGGGAATGAAGCGTCGATTAATTCCCGACATATTAGTTATCGGGAAATTATGACCTCTAGGTTGACAAGGTCCTTTTTGTAGATATGATCTT